GATCCTTATACTCAGAGACTTCTTTACGTTACGCTTGTTCGCTCAAGGTTTGACTACGCCTCCTTGATTTGGACTCCTTTTTATGACATCTCACATTGCACGCCTAGAACGCATTCAAAGGAAATTTGAACGCTGCGCCTTATATAAAGTCATTGAAATATTACTTAATTCCTCTATTATTTTTATAATCAATCCAAATTGTAATCTTATGGCCTTATTCATAAAAAATAAAGTAGCTTTAAAAAAGGTTTATAAACGGAAAAATGTATGACAACGTCATTTTATAAAGCTCTTGAAACCTACTTTATTTTTTATGAATAACGTCATTAGTCTGCAAGGATGTAATATTCCATTGACTTAATAAATAAATTAATAAAAATGCTGCCGTTAAACAGTGTAGGTAATTTCTCCCAGTGTCATTTATTGTGTAATCAACCAGCAAAGGTGCTGTGACAAATCGAATGTTGACTCTCTGCCAGATATGGTCAAAACCGCCTTCGACATGAAATCGGTATTTTTTAACCATAAAAGCAAAGGCACAACATTTATACATATGTATGTACATTAGGGTGGCCCTTAAAAATGAAATTTTAAGTCTCACTCCCTCAGTCGCTAATACAACGGTCAAAGATATCACATATAAATTTTAGTCCCGATTGGAGACGGTTAAGGCGTGTTGCACAGGAGTCAAAGTTCAGATTCCCCTATGGAGACTCAAAAAATTTAAATTCATTTTTTTACACGCCTTACCCTACTCAAATCGGGACCAAAATTTATATGTGACATCTTCGACGTTAGTAGTATCGATTTTGGTATTAGATGAAAAAAATATTAATTTTAATTTTTTGAGTCTCCATAGGGGAATCTGAACTTTGACTCCTGTGCAACACGCCTTAACCGTCTCCAATCGGGACTAAAATTTATATGTGACATCTTCGACGTTAGTAGTATCGATTTTGGTATTAGATGAAAAAAATATTAATTTTAATTTTTTGTGTCTCCATAGAGGAATCTGATGAACTTTGACGCCTGTGCGACACGCCTAAACCGACTTCTCCGATCGGGAACAAAATTTTTGTGTGATATCTTTGACTATATTAGCATCGATGTGTGGGGGTTGACGTTTAGGAAATCTGATGTAATAATGTACTTAATACATTTAAGGACCACCCTAATGTACATAAATGAGGGGGGGGGCCAGCATGTGGGATTGTGCTTCCAGCGAGTCTGTGGCGGTGGCGTCATTGCTGTGTGGCAACAACTACAGACAACTCCAATTCAATGGCGCAAAGTATATTCGTAGTTTTTCAACGTTTTCAGAGTTTTTTTTTTCTTCATTTCTTATTCGATTGCTATTTTTTTTTCATAGAATCCATTGATTTGACCGTGATTTAAGCTGACACCCTCAGCCTTCAGCCTTCCTCTCTTCTCCTGTCGGCCATTGAAAACTCGTTTTCACTTTTATGTGTATTCGAACTGGCCAGATATTTTATTGTATATAAGTTCTTATGTATGTATGTATATATTTACGTGTAGTGCAGCAGTGTAATTGTTATTGTTATTGGTTTAGTTTATGTGCGTAAATGCGTGGCAATTGTTGCTCATTCATGCCGGCATTTCAGTTTGCATCTGATATTCGAGATTCTGCACATCGCGGAGCGCGGGTTAAATGGTTACGAGGTAAACATTAGTGGCCGTTTCAGGGCCATGGAAAAGCAATGTAAATCTGGTCAAACCTTTATTGTGTAATGCGTAAGCTTATTTATATTCATATATACAAATGTATCTACATATGTCACAATTTATATAACTTTCAATTTTAAGTGGTTTTTAAAAGTAACACTTGCACTTTATTACACAAAAAGTGAATGTGCCATAAAACTGCAAACGTACCTAGAATTTTTCTAAAAAAAATCTGATTAGAAATTTGCAAATTAGTATGCAAATTTACTGAATTTTCCTGAGTTTTTCTATTTATGTGTTTTCTATTGTAAAAATTTAACTAAAAATAAATTAGAAAACTTTGCATACATTGCGAAAAATTCTCTGTGCCAATACTTTTGCTCGTCATTGTACAAATATGTTGATCAGTCAGTTGATACGCTGTTGTTTAGACCCATTTGAAAATGTGTGTGTTCACTAGTGGAAACCGGCCTTAAGACGATTGATTTGTTGCCCTAGAAGTAAAACATAGACCCACTGTAAACAAAATTGTGATGATGCACAAACAAAATGTTTTTTTTTTTTATTTCCTGTTGGGACATTACTAGTAGTGCCCCTCCTCCATTTTTTCTATGCACAGGGCTTTCTTTCTTCCTCTCGCTTACTTCATCCACTCAGACAAACTTGCCTATGCCACCAACACCACGACGCACAGCTTTTAATTTCATTTTATTTTTAAATGCACTCATTTTAGCTAGTTTTTTTTACTATTTTCAATTAAACGAATCATCGCCAGCACTGACATTTGTCAGCCATTAGCGAGCAATAAATTTAGCCATTGCAGTCGTCTGCTTTGGTGTTTGACCCGTGATAATACAATCCTGTAGCACGTACACTGATAAATTCTCGCATTGCCTTGCCACCTTTTTTTTTTTAATTACTTTACAGTCGAGACGATGCTGTGCTATAAAACAAGAAGAAAAAAAGTGCACTATCTTCGGCATTGATTTTTGCTCTTTGCCTTTAATTAGTTGCTCGTTGAGCTCAATTCAATCATAGCGGACCCTGAGGCTTTTTAACAGCACCCCTTCGGCGTGATTTGAGCTGAGCTATTAAAAGCACAGCAAAATGATTGACAGCCGCTATCACAGCTATGTATGTACGTATGTATGTACTTTGTTTGGATGTATGTACATATATATGTATGTTGTTATATTTATGTATGTATATTTATTCTATTTACTACAAATCGATTAGTGATTGATGAATGTTGAAAGGAATGTTGCCTCCGCGAGATGCCTAACAAAGTACCTTGCATTTCAGAAAAATATAAACACATACATATGTATGTATGTATGTACATATACTTATTTATTTATATTTTACTATTTTTGAATGTTTGTGATGACTGTACTCGCAATCTTTTTTCATACAAAAAAGTAAGAGCTTTGAAAGTGTGTATTTAATTTGCAAAATTAGCAATTTCCGGTAATTATTGAATATTAATTGCTAAGAATTCATTTTTTTTTAAAACTTTGTAGCAGTTTGAAGCATCAATATGCGCGTTACCAAAGGAACTTCGAAAAAAAAACAACATACACACAGTGCCGGAACTATAAATAGGGAAGAAACATTTTAGCATTCTTTGGCTATTTTCCTTTCATTTAATTGATGTGTAGTTCGTTATCTTACAAAAACAATGTAAGTCGAAATTTCAAACTTTGTAAAAAAAAGAGGAAAATTAGACAAAAGTTTCATCAAAATTTAAAGCTTTTTAATAAGATTTCCTAGAAATATTCTGAGTACGCAGTTTTGTAGAACATTAAATTTTACTTACCGTTGCTTTTTGGTAATTTTTTTTTTTTTTGTGGAAGGTGTTACTCATTTTCTCCATACAACAAGTCTAGCAACGAACCTGTCGTGGAAAAAGGCAAGTATTGGACAGGCAAAACTAAGTCATTCTTACTTTGTATCCTTCTCGCACATTTAATCTTTCTTTCCGTTTACGACATCCGGCTAAGGCCGACCGACGCTTTAATTGCGCCTATTCGTTTTGTGTGAAAATTAATAGGTTGCGCTTATTTATCTAAACTTACACATTCCAAAGCAACCTTTTCATTTTAGATATAGTATTTAACTCGATTTGGTATTATTTTGGATTATAACTTGCAACAAATGTGCGATATGTATCGGTGATGGGCACCGCCTTGCCCGCGGGCAAAGCTCTTTTAAGCTTTCTATACTTTTTGTATAGTCGCGTGCAGAGGAAAAGCTCTCGCTGCCCATCGCTGATGTAGATACACATTGAGATGATAAGAGCGAGCATAGGCTGTTTCTCTGAAACAAAATGACCGCGATAAAGTTTATTGTTCGTTTCTAGTAAGGCTTGCCTACTTCGATTTGCCACAGTAAAATATGGTTATTTATAAACCTAATCCGCTATATAACTCAAAAACATGAAATTTCGAGTTGAGCCCTTATTGCAGAGGACCGTTGATATGTAAATATATTTTTTTAAAAAAGTTTTTAAATAAAGCTTACAACTATATCAGATTCACATAAACCTCTGAAAGATTTTCACGCCATGAATTCCCAAATTTTACTTCAAATTCTGAATATTCGTACACATGATTTGTTTTTTTAATTAATAGCTGAGATTGATCCCTTAAAGCGCATGTATGTGGCTTTTTCATTCCATTTAATACGGCCGGCCCTCGCTTGCTTGCCCAGCGGGTATCCGATTAAATGAATTTCCACCACCGCTTGCCGGGCGAAAAGTTACTTCTGTGGGATTTTTAATTTTTTGCTTAAATTTTAGTTTACATTCCAGCTGTGCGTAAATCATCGTTATTTTGCACAAAAACAACAATTTGTTTAATTTGTTTTGTTATTGTTGTTGCTATTTGCAGTGCAAAAGTTGTTACAACTTTGTTGAACTGTTGAATGTCATTTCATCCGCAATTATCCACCTCCGCCGGCAAGAGCCTCAGCCATTTTGTGTCTGCGAATTTAATTTATGAAAAAATGTGAAAAATATTGTGCGAAATATTTTTGTAATAAGCACATGAAAATGAGAGTACTTTGCTGGCTGGCTGGTCGATCTCAAACAACATTTTAATCGACTTAAATATGTAATTTAAGTTGGATTAAAGGCGATTGTTGAATTTGTATACAAAGTGTTAAAAAGATGGCGTACATATTTGTTTCCTGATTCTGTTTTCTTAATTATTAAGTTATTTTAACGTACGTTCATTTTCCAAGTAAATCACTTAAATTGTGCAAATTGTGTATCTATTCCTTTCTAATCCACCTTTTTATTTTCTGTGCTCTTCTTTCAGAATACATCACCGCTATGGGAAGACTTTGTTACCAAGGCCACGAAGTTACACCAATGTTTACGGTAAGTACCTACTCTTGTCTCTCGCGACTACGGCCGCTGCTCTCTCTTCAGCAATTATCAAAATTATTTTCCTTTGCTCTAACTGAAACTTTTTACGGCTTTCTTTACCTAATTTCTTTATGTTGGGAATAATCTGCTGAAATGTTTATTTTCTAAACAAACAATTGGAAAAAATTCAAATATGTATAGAGTGGCATCATTATTTTTGGAAATAGTGGTCCACTAGCAATGTATGTAGCTATGTACATATGTACACATACATACACATACAATTATTCATGGAAATCGTTAAATGCATATCTACATTCATACATACATACATACAGTGGTGGAAGAAATAATAGAAACTTTTTACATTGACCAGTTTTGGCTATTTTACTTTGTTTATTCGATGTTTAATATTTTTGTATAAAAGTCTAGCGCAATATATACACACACACCATATAAATCCACATTTCAAAGTTTGTACAAAAATTATAAAAATTCAACAAATTTTATCAAAATCACCCAAAAATTTCAAACTTTTCAATCAGATTTTTTTGAAAAATTTTGGGTATGCAGTTTTATAGCCCATTAAATTTTAGTAGACAAATCTGCAAACCGCAAGACGCTATGATTTTTAATAATTTATTTGGCTGGCGGTGTTGTGCATTTTCTCCCATATAAAGTATGCTCGACCATGCTTAAAAGAAAAAAAATTAATGGTCTATGAAACTGCATACCCAAAATTTTAAAAAAATATCTGATTAAAAAGTTTGAAATTTTTGGGGGTTTTTGTTAAAATTTGCTGAATTTTTATAATTTTTGTACAAACTTTGAAATATGGATTTATATAGTGTGTGTTTTATTTATTGGTTAGACTTTTATACAAAAACATTAAACATCGAATAAACAAAGTAATATAACTAAAACTGGTTAAAGTAAAAAGTTTCTATTATTTCGTCCACCACTGTATATGAGAAATGCCCGAACGCTGAAGTTAAAATCATAAAATTTGCATTTGACCTAAGTATGTTTATGCCATCATTTGTTGTATGTGGAATTCGTGGCCTACTTTCGGTATTATAAATGACCAGTGAGAGTTGCTTGCTTTTTCCGCATAACAAAGCGAATTTGATTTCCCTCAGAAGCACGGAATTGCACAAAACGATTGCATTGGTGATGAATTACTTTCTGAAAGTTTTTACAATCGCAAAATCGTCGTAATTTATTAGGGCAATAAATGAAATAGAAGATTTAAATAGGTCCGCACTAAAGCCATTCGCAGACACTCCTTTGCTCCTTTGCTGCAGTAACTCCAATTGCATGAGAAACTGGTGTCGAGCTTTTTTTTGGCGTTGTTGCCAATGTACTGTTGGCAGGTGATTGAAGATTTAAGTAACATAAACGGTGAGAGAAAATGTTAATTCTGATTTAAACTTCGGATCGGAAAAATTTTGGATTTTGGGTGGGCTACACAAAATATGTATGTATGTATATATGTACTTATGTCATTATGTAAAAACGAAAACCTACTTAATAACATTTTTTTAAATGGCACACATCTTTTGCCATTTCAATGCCATGTGAAAATTCGGCAAAAGAGTTGGTTACAAATACATACATAGTTCCTTATCGTATATAGTATATTTTTTTTTTTAAAGAATTTTTATTCTATTCGGACTCTTTAATTACACCATTATTTTGTTCTTGTGAAGCACGCTTTGTCCGCCAACACAAAGTGTATCTGCGTAAAATCACCATCACCGCAAAACGATTTCGCACTTTGTAATAAAAAAAATCTGTATTTTTATCGCGACTAAAAGCGTACAAAAAAAAAAGAATTAAACAAATCATTTGAGAGCAGCAAAGCAATTTTCGGTTTAGTGATGATATACAAAAATATAAACATATGTACATATGAACGTGTATATCTACATACATACATACATATGTAGCACTTTCAAATTTAATTTAATGTTTTTTATCTCTGTTTATTTGCAGTGCCGCCATTCAGGCAATCGCCGCATATTTGGATGCCTTCCAAAAAATCGCAGACGCAGCAACAAATTCAAGAGGTAAGTTCAAACCCCCAACGCATAGATATACAAACATTATATTATCGTACATATATACATATGTATATTTATATATACAACGTATTTACTAGTGTATGTATGTATGTGCAAATAAAAATAGAAGAACTTCGAAATAAACAACGCAACGCAATAGAGAGATTTTATTCTCGCGATTCCTCCTCTGACGCTTCACTTGTGGGAAAGCATTTCAAAGGCACACGCACATGTTGCACTATTACGCAGCAATGTTGCCCGCAGCATTTCTGCTGCCATCAGATTGATCACCAACGGCTAAACATGTTGCGGCATCACGCTGTTTATTGCCAGAAATCACAACAAATAAATAAACAAAGCTACGACGCCATAGGCCGATCGATCGCTGCTTTCCGCTTACCACTCTGCCATCTTTGTTTCCGCGTACTTGCAGAATTCATTTACCTGATTCTACGTTCGTAATTTGTTTTTTTTTCTGACGCAAGTTGAGGAAGTGAAGTTTGGCGGCGATCCCAGAGTTCGTCACTGGAATCACTGTTAGCTACTCGAACGACTGCCTCCGCCTCAAATGCGCCTTGTTATTGACATTTTTTTTTTGGTTAGCTGACCATGTGAAGGTTGTTGATACAGTAGACGCGCGTCCGCAAGCACTGACCACGACCATCTTACATACGTTCCCACGACAGTTGGACCTACGTAACCGGAACGACCCAGATTTATGTACATACATATGTACGTATGTATGTATATGTATGTATTTGGCCCAAGGACTGTCTGTCACTCTAGCATTACTCCCCAAAAACTCTTTGGAGAATGTGTATGCTGTTACAACAAGAACAACAACAACAACAACAACAATGTATATTTGCTAAACTATGCACTTTTTTATTCCTTCTAAAATGTATTCATGGAAATGCAGGATTTTAACATTAAAGCTTCGCTGCAGTCAAGCTATTCACTTGACTCTTGTGGCCCTTGTCTGTAGTGGGATGCATGCGAGTATTTTGTAAATGAATTTCACTAGCGGGCAACTCGCTCGACTGCCCTTTTTTTCATTTAGCTGGGGGATAATGTAATGACTTAGACGTACTTGCTTTTCTCAGTGAGCGTTAAGTAAGCTTAAGTGAATGTCGCCAACCCGCCAAAACAATTCTGTGCTTCTGAACCCTTGAAATGTATGTTTAGAACTACTCGTCTATGCTGTGAAATTGTAACAAATAAGTATGTATTACAAAACGCCATAAACCCCAGCACCGCTCATTATGTATGCAAACCTTAATACATTAGGGGTATTCTCTGAGTCTTGCAAAGCCCTTGCAAGGTGCACGGATTGCACGGTTTGCAAAGCTGTCCCATACGAAAACCGGTTTTTACCGTGCAATCCGTGCAATCTGTGCACCGTGCAAGGGCTTTGCAAGACTCAGAGAATACCCTTATTGTGTAATATTTTCTCCCTTTTTCGTTGGTTCATATTTGCTTTCCCACAAAGGGTGGAAATCTACTTGAGTGAGTGGTGGTCAAGTTTTTTGCCGATATTATTTGTCGAAGTGTTAATTGTCGTTTGGTTTGGGTGCAATTGCTGTGTTCGTAATTTTTTCCTGCTATTTGTACGCTGTTGTTGGTGTAGTAGGTATGTCCTTACCTTAATATAGAATGCCCTAAATGCAAACTGACTAAATGCCGTAACTGACTAAAAAATTTTATTGCATAAAACGATGTAGGGACTTATAATTTAATTTTAAATGCATCATAATGAATCTAAAAGTGAATTTTAGACTTTTAATTAGTTACGGATTTATGTATTTCGGCGACGAAAATGTGAGATAGGGCCCCTTTCTATATTAAGCTAACGATATGCAGATTCACTCCTTCGCTCAATGGTATAAATCTGTATACGCCGCAGGCAGATAATGGTTTTACAACTATTTCTGGCTGTATCTTTACTAGGAAAATAGGTTCGAGTTCCAAGGAAAACTATTAAAAACGAATGCACGGTAGATCGGTGTTCCACATAACTTTTTCTGAAGGAACTGAAGAGAAAAGGACAATGGCTTCGCCGACATATGACTAGATTATTCAGTCTAGAATGTTTTAAAGGCATACAAAAAAAAACATTAAGAATCCTCTTGGGCAATGATTCTTGAATTGACTTGATTGACTTCTTGAAGAGAGCAATCTAACTTTATAGTAATAATAATATTTTGGCGCTTACAGTTTTGCCAAGTTTTTGCCCGCAGCACTGCTCCTCCAATTCGCTACTGTTAGACAAAAAAAAAAAACAAACGTTTTCTAATTTAGATGTTGCTCCAACCTGGGCCTGCCTCTAACTACTCAGCCGCATCGCAGCTAACTTTACCTAAACCTAAATTAAGTTAAAAAAAAAATACGCCAAACCATAAAGCGAGTCGACATGACGATATTCGATTTATTCACTTCTAATAATAAACCTTAAAGTGTCTTTAGATTGATTTTTCTAATTAAGTTATTTTCGTTCGCTGCCCTCTTTGTATTCAACAGTCGGTGTGAGAATTGACTGATACGACAACTAAAAGTGCCACAAAAACTTGATCAAAAGCCACACTGTTGTTGTTTTTGTTGTCGTCGTATTTGTAATTGATCAGAAATAAGCTTCAACCAACAACCAACAACTAGCAACTAGCTCGCATTTATGTCGCATTTTTTTCTGTTTCCTGTTGCAGTTGTTGTAATTGTTGTTGCTGTTGTAGTTGCATATGGCGTAGAATTGCGTTATTTTGCGACGCCACTCCCTCCCCCAGCCAACCTAGCCACATTCTGCAGCGAGTGCCCCTCTTTTATTTGCCTAGCGACAGAGTGTGGCCAGAGTGTGTGTACACGAAAGTAGATAGCCTCACCGGTAGTGTAAGCGTCGCTGTAGCCGTCGTCGCCGTTAAATGGGGGCAGTTGCAACGGTACAGCCAATAACAACAAAAATAATACAGTTGCAATGACAATATTAGCCGGTGTGCCACTGCATCTGTTACGGTGTGAGGTGGCGGTGGCGGTGGCGTGCCGGCGGCAATGTGCATGAAGACCGGTTGTTGACCGGGTGTTGCATGCACCAGCTATGTGACTGTTGCAGAAGAGCAAAAAAAAAATCGAAAACTGAACGAAAAAAAATAGCGAACACTCCTCGTTGGTCTTTTTGTCTTTTTCATTTAATATTCTCTTTGTCGATTGGTATAAATGTGTATGTACATATGTATATACAACCAAAATAAGCTTAGACAATATGGCGTGGTTATTATAAAGATGTTTTTCATGACGCTTACTTTGGATGGGGCTGTAAATATTTAATTTTTTACGAGCACAGAATGTTGCTCTTGAATTTTCAGAATTTCTGTAATACTGAGGCCACTACTGATTTCTGGGTTCAAGATCCTACCAATGCAAAATGTACAGGTGTGAATACAGCTTATGAGCTTAGGGTATGTACATACAATCTTAGTTGATAACAAAATAGTCCATCATTCATTTCCAATTTAAAACAAGTTTATCAAGTTCGTCAATCTGCTTGTCATCTTTGCTTTGATATGGTGGGAAAAAGGATAAAGTGGAAAGTGTGTTAAATTTTCAATTCTTATTTTTTTTTTTTTTAAGCGCATCACTGATAAATTAAAAGCACCACTTCCGACTTTTCATATTCATTTTCAAATGAACCGTAAATCACAATTTTATTTAGTTCAATTAGCGGTAATTTTGTGCTTGATGTTGGTCAGTGTGTCAAATAATTTCCCAAGTTTTTCGCCGCGCTGGTGTGCGTCACACAAATGGCAGGGAAAGGAAAGGTTTTTGTAATGACTTTTTAACAAGCGCACAAGCGTACTCGAAGCTTTGAAACCATCGCGACGATACCAGAATCAAGATAAAGCGCATCGTTAAGGAACATAAGCGGCAAAAGCAGTTAAAGCTCTCAGAAACCTACCATCTTCAAACCGAAGTCAGCAGGTTGTGGGCGACTGTCAATTCCCTTTCTAGACCGACAAAATACAACGACGATTCAGCCATCAAATTCGGAGAGGATACCATTACAGAGCCCAGATGAAACATACAGCTCATAACGCCCAGGAAGTGCAGGAAGCCAAAGCGGAAACTAAATCGTGATGCTAAAACTACTTGACGTACCGGGATTTTACATTCCTCAATCTGTCATTCGTCACACAGATTATCTCTGAGATCAGTAGAACTAGAAGACTTCTACAGGCCAATCACGTTCCTTTTTCCAAGGAAAATTCAAACAGCGAAAATCACAATTTCCGAGCTATCTCCTAATCTGTTCGACATGCACCTGCCCAAAATTCCGCAGACGCTTGAGAGAGTCTCAGCCAAAGACTGATCCGTCATGGCAAGATACAGCTAGTATATCGACAGTTAAAAAAAAAAAAATTAGCTATTCTGTTATGTTTTGGAAATACATCTGTAATCGTCGTGTGTGTTTTAATTTCTACAAGATGCCTTAATTTCTTTTACAGGTGCTTCCAAGGAAATCGGCACCGCTTTAACCCGTGTCTGCCTGCGACACAAAGCTGTCGAATCACGTCTGAAAACTTTTACTACAGCGATAATGGACTGCCTGGTACAGCCCCTACAAGTGAGTTAAGCTAATTATTTGTGAACATAAAAAATTGTTTGCGAACCACCTTTGAATTTCCAGGATAAATTAGAAGACTGGAAACGCACAGTGATCACCATAGATAAAGAGCATGCCAAAGAGTATAAACGCTGTCGCACCGAACTCAAAAAGCGTTCCAGCGATACGCTGCGTCTGCAGAAGAAAGCTCGCAAAGGTCAGTCGGACACCATACAGTCGCTTATGGATTCGCATATGCAAGATGTGACCTTGAGACGCGTCGAGTTGGAAGAGGTCGAAAAGAAATCGCTGCGTTCGGCAATGATTGAGGAACGGCTGCGATACTGTACCTTCGTGCACATGCTGCAGCCGGTCGTGAAGGAGGAATGCGAAGTGATGTCAGAGCTCGGGCATTTACAGGTGGGTCTAGTAGGACTGGTTTAGCACCAAAAAATATTTTATCTCGTTTCATTTCTTAAATTTGTTTACTTTCGGCATAATAGGAAGCAATGGATTCAATTGCCATTGTAACGAAGGATCCGAGCGTTTTGCCGCCAGCCTCCGAGGAGCTCATACATGACGCCAAAGCCACAATGACGCTGTACCCCGAGTCGCCTGGCGGCGGTTCGGGCTCCCAAGGTGGTTGCTCCAATTCGCTGGGTTCACGCAAAAGCTCCGTTTGTTCCATTAGCTCCATGAACAGCAGCGGCTCAAGCAATTCACCGGGACATCACCACTATCCACGTTCGCTTTCGCAGGTGAGTGAGTGGCGCGACCAAGGAAAGAGAGAGAGTGGAGTGGCTTGGCTGGCGCCAGGTGGCAGCTCTGCTAAATGTCGGTGTTACGCTTCACTCATGACCTTTCGTTTACATTTCTTTGAGCGAGGGTATCCATCCCATTCATCATATTCTATATGTGATTTTATTGTTTAAGTTCTTCGTTTTTATTTTTGTTGTCATATTCGTTTATTTTATGTTTTCTTTTTTTTCAATCGCAGTTAATTTCGCCTGCAATACGCTTGAAACCTGGTGAATCCAGTGATAGTGGCTTTTGCTCTTCGCCAGCGCTAACCACACAGGTTTTTATTTTTATATATTAATTACTTTTCAAATTTCGTAAAATAGAATTTTAATTCGCTATGATTTTTTGTCTGTGGCTCATTCTGCCTTTTGTTGTGCTTCATTTATTTTCCAAACGAATTGTGTTTTTTTTTATGCTTTTATTAATTTCAATATCTCTTATATAAGGCTTCCACTGCCACTAGTCAATCGCACGCCGTTTCCACTTGGCCTCCACATTCCCAGGATGCGGTGCCTGTGCTGCCACCTGCCGCCGATCGGCCACACACAATCTCAACCGCCTACGAAAAGGGCCACCAACGACCGCCTCTCACTGTTTACACGTTCCAGAATCCCGAGACCATTATGGAGGGCAATGGCGGGAGCGGCACCATACCGGGCACGCCAAATGGGCCCAGCGCAGGTGGCGCAGGGTCCGGCGCCAATACGCCATCTGCACTGAAGTCGCCAGCTGGTGCGCTGAGTCGTCCACCTCTGCCTGTGGTAAGTTACGCTATGCAATTCAACACTTGACTTTTCTGTTCTCTGTGTCTGTACATATGTACATATGTATTTGTATTTGAGGTGATTAATTCTTGTTAATTTGATTGTGTTACACTTTGACTTCAGAAACCAACACGTGTGGTAAGTTTAGGACGTAATCTCTTTTCCAACCTGAATTCCAAATCAAGCCCACACCTAAAATTTCATCATCGCCTACCTAAATAATTCAAATACACAAATTGTAAATGATGCATGCCTCGTATTGCTAGTCCCATCTCTGATTATCCTTAAACAAATTATTTCAAAAACGAAGCAAATCGTTAGTATACATAGTACATATGTAGATCGCTTTAAAAAAATATAGGCCAGTTAAAAAAAAAAACCAACTGATCGACATTAAATGCAATTAACCGGTACTGCCACTTGGTTTTTTTGCACATAAAATTATTTTTAATCCCAAAAACTGGAAAGCAGGATCCCAATCAGGATCCTTCAAGCTATGCATCCAGAAATTCTTAGAAGAGCTTTCAGTCGAGGAGTGTATCAGCGCATGGTTAATGGCGATGCTTGCACTGCATAAGTATTTCAGCAGAATTTGGAAGCTGCATGCTAACGAGAAGCAACAATAGGGCATGATTCAGGGTGGAGTGATTTTGCCACCTTCATAGTCTACCACTATCAACTTAGTACTACTCAACTCAACCAGGGGAATCCATGCCGATGATGTGTCTATTTTAATAATTTGTGGTGAACAACATCATGGTGAGTAGCCGATGAGCTGAGCAATGCGTAATCATGGCCAAACAAGAAAAAACATAACTAGAGCCTCTTTTTAAATACCAAAGTTGAATAAGGAAATCCTATGCAGTGTTGCCGTTGAGAATTTTCAGAAAGTCACCAAAAAGGGTCATTGACGAAAAAACGGCCACCATATTGTTTTTGCTTTTTTTTACTAGTAAAAAAAGAAAAAATAGCGGGCCAAGCTTTGTACAAAAAAGGGTTGCAAACATACACATAAATCTAGCTGCTGCAAAGAGAAGAGTTGCATTTTCTTTAAAAGTTTTAAGTGGTGCATATTTTCGTAGTTACAGGGTTCTGTTAGTATTTCCTAAAAAAACTCTAAAAAGAGACAAAAGGTGCACATAATTTTTGGAAAAGGGTAAAAAAATCCAAATTTTTCAAAAAGTCGGGTGAAACGGTATGGGCGCTTAAAAAGGGTCAAATTGCCCCTTTAATCGAACAACGGCAACACTGATCGTATGATTAACATCCGTCACGCCAGCTTACCCACTTTTCCAAATACAGATACAAATTATTCGAGGAACTGGTGCTTTTATGTCCGCCAGGATTTATTTAGATGCTCACTCGGTTTCTGATAAATTCGCAAAAATAGGTTTGAGTCAGCTGGCGTAATGCCATGAATAAGAGAGCATCTAAATTAATTTTGGTTGCTCTAAAATGCCCCTAATTCCCGAATAATTTTTATGAGTAACACACAGGTCACATGTATCCGGATCAGTAGTTCGATCGAGATTCAGTTTTTGAGTGCGTGTTTATCGCAATATTTCCGGAAAGGATCTGATGATGAGCTAGCCTGGGTGGGTTCCCAAATGGTCCCAATCGAGGACCGGATTTCAACTCCAGTGGGAAACATTTTTCCCCAGAATCTTTAGTGATCCTTATAGGAGGCGTCAAGGTGTCAAGCTGTCATATAGCCAAACCCAGATTTGATAGGAGCAGAAATACCATAGCAGGACCAAAGGAGTTCCCTAGTTCTTTGCCAGATCTGCCTCCTAAATTTTGGTTGACTTCAACATGCGGTTTATTTTCTTTCCCAGCAGCAGAGCAGTGCTCTACTTTAATGTCGATCAGTTGAAATGCGATCATCATCTTTCACAAAACCTCCTTTTAGAAAAAAAAATGTTAATTTTACCGTTTCCATAACTAATTCTTGAATTACTCTTACAGCGTTGCTCTTCGCTGGAACGTCCGCTTTCGGCCACCAATACGCGCAGCGCCAACAATCTCTTGCAGCGGCAATGCCCATCACCTATACCGGCTCACATAACCAAAGGTAAGCGCCGAATCTCTTCTCCCCTCTTCGGACCCGTCCGATTGCGTGCCGACCTTCATGTTTTGCTAATTTCCCAGCAATCCAAATTTACTAATTATCCTGTTTTTGTGCTCTTTATTCCCCGTTATTATGCTTTACACTTCCTAAATACAAATAAAACACACACACAAACATACACGCTACGCCGCCACCGCCGCCACCGCCGCCCTCCGCATGCTTTCAATGTGTCAATTGTCTTACAATAAACAAAAACTCACTCAAAAACCGAATTACCAAATGCTGCGAGCAGAGCTTTCAGCACATCATGCGCAACAGCAGCAAATACAACAGCTGCAGCAACAGCAACAGCAACAACAATCGCAGCTGCCACAACACCAGCTGCAGTCACCATCGCCACCGACGTACGTCAATATGTCGGAGCTGGCCAACATGGCTGCGCTGAAAATCACTAACCAGCAGCAACAACAACAACAACAACAGCAGCAGCAGCAGCGGCCCGTTAGTTGCTTGCAACAACAACACTCCATCGATTCGATTTGCTCGCAGTATTCCAACGATTCGCTTGCATCGGGTCACCACCAGTCACAACAACAGCAGCATCAAGGTGCCACTGCTTGTGTCAGCAATAACAACGCCAGCAAGGCACGTTCACATTCCGTTTCCTCTTCGTCTGCGTCCTCGAACACACCCTCTTTGCACTCGCATCCCTCCATAGAGTCCGGCACGGTAACCACGCCACTTGTTGGCCAAACACCGACACCCTCGAGCGGCAGCTCAACACCACAAAACCACTACTCGCCGCTGCTGACAAATTCGCCATCGTCGACAGCGGCCGGCACACCAAGTGGCGGTAGCGTGACGAGCGGAATGATGAGCGGCTTTGTGTATAACGTCAACTCGCCGACACCACCTCAAAGTGGCACAGCATCAGTCGACAGCGATGTCTTAAAGATCACCGAAACTGATGGCGGACAAGCGGCAACCGCCGCCAACGTCGCACCACCCACTAACGAAACCAATCCTCAGCAACAACAACAGCCAGACAGTAACAACATAAACACCACTTCTATAAAATATGCTACAACAACCAATAACTCCCAAACCACACCCACCGAAACGCCCGATGAAGAGCATACGAATTCCACCAATCTAACTTCTGCCGCGATCGATACAGAATCACCAACTATTGTCGAGAATGACGAACGTTCACGCGCCTCGGTGCTGCAGAAGGCATCCATGTTCGAAAAACAGGCCGCCGCTGCCGCCGCCGCCGCAGCTGCAGCATCCACCACGGCAGTCACAACCGGTCGTTCGACCGGCAGCGATGCTATTTACGGCACACGACGCAACCAAGAGGACGTATACCGCTCAACAAATACCGGTAATCTTTACCAGCAGCCAGTGCAACAGCAGCAGCAGCAGCATTTGGAGCAACCAGATGTGGGTGAGTAGGCATGGCGTGAGGCGGCTTTCCAAGCTCCTGCGCCAAGTAGGCGCCAAAAACAATATTCGTATAAAAAGAAACTATTAGTATTCACTGTACTCGTACACAACCTCCGGCTGTTATTGTGCCTTCCAAGCAACTCGCAACACATGCAACCAATTTATGTCTATAAAACTTTAAACGTGCCTCCTTAGCAAATTTCTACACAAATAAGAATTCCAAGCCCCACAACTATTAACTATGTATTTAAGCCCCCCCCCGCCATTTTGTCACAACTGTTATTTGCTCAGCACGTTAAGTGGCGCATTCAAGAGTTATCCCAAAGATCTATTATTTAGTCAGCGTTTTACATATAATATGGATGAAAGAAGTCTCTGGTAAAGTAAGAGGTGTTTAATTGTAATAAAAATGATCAAAGAACGCATATAAAAGGAACGGATGATTCCTAGAAATTTGCACAGTTTCATTGTGAGTAGATCCAGACTTAAAAAAGTGTACATACGTACATACATTTGAATATGTAAATATCGTAATCATCGTTGCAAATGCTTTTTAACCGACTTCCAAAAAAGGAGGAATATTTTTTTTTTTTTTTTTTTTTTACGTATGTTACCGCATAACTTTGCACCACATCAACCGATAATAATTCAATAATTCTTTTTGCAACGGAAAGGTAGTGTCTCAGAGGTGGTCCCATACTAATTTGGTTTAGATCCGATCATTGGATCATGAAATATATAGATATATATATATTTAAGTCGGTTTTTTTTTGGTAAAAATTACTTGTTAAATAAATCGTTACTATGCCTGCAGAAGAACAATCACGGTGACTGGCGATATCTTATGAATAAGAAAGAGCTGTGCCATCTGTTATGTTTTTAGAAGTAAATATGAATTATTAATTGATCCGCTCTGGTGGGATAACTGCCGTTTAAGTAGATTTCCCAACTTTTGGCACCCGAAATCAAAAACAGTCACAACTCAAAATTATTTAAAATGTATATTTTTTTTCTTTTAATAAAACAGTGCACAGACCATATCTGTGTTCGTAGGGAACGGTAGCTGACTTTAGTATAATGCGGCATTCCTTTTGTTCTTTAAACCACAAGGAATTTTTTGGTGAGACTTAATAAGTTAATTGACTTGCTAGTATCGGAACTATTTCTTGCACGTTCATTTGCCAAAAGTTCTTCAACGTCTCGGCGCCAGTGAGTCATTCGCAATTGTATGCTGCGAATGCCAAATTATACGAAAGCTAGCCTTTTGATATTAGCTACTATTCCATACGAACACAGATAAACATACATATCGTCGTTTAAAGTACAAAACCGCGTATCGTCATTCTGCAAAATCGCGTATAACTGACATTTGTTGCCAAAAATTGCATTTGCTCACACAAGCTTTTGGCTCAATTNTAGAAAATAATTTATGCAACCTCATCATGGTACAATAATTACAGGTATTGTCTTCCCAGAGAGCGCATATTCCGAAATNGTGAGACTTAATAAGTTAATTGACTTGCTAGTATCGGAACTATTTCTTGCACGTTCATTTGCCAAAAGTTCTTCAACGTCTCGGCGCCAGTGAGTCATTCGCAATTGTATGCTGCGAATGCCAAATTATACGAAAGCTAGCCTTTTGATATTAGCTACTATTCCATACGAACACAGATAAACATACATATCGTCGTTTAAAGTACAAAACCGCGTATCGTCATTCTGCAAAATCGCGTATAACTGACATTTGTTGCCAAAAATTGCATTTGCTCACACAAGCTTTTGGCTCAATTCCTATCCATTCGTCATGATTCAATAATACAAGGTTGGATAAATATTGACATTTGTGTCAATCGACTGCCTTGTAAGGTTGCATTTAAGAAGGAAAGAGAAGCGGGGCACAATTTTATCCTCTTTTGTGTAAAGGTAGTAGGAAAAGTAAGTAGTCTGGTAGTGCTGAAAAGCGTTTTTGTATACAAATTGAATTAAATATATAAAGATGATTCCACTTATCTACACAATAGACAATGAATTAATTTTTTATGGCCACATAAATATTAAAAATGAAATAAATGGATATTCACATAAAATTCTTGACAAAAAAAATCTTTGAAGTATTTGAAGAAATATTCCCAAATATTCAAAATAAACCATGGTTTCATTGGTATTCCAGTATATATTTAACGAAATTAATGGAATTCAAACAAATCCTTTATTCAAAGGCACTATATGAAGAATTATACAAATGGTAAAGATGCAATTGATTTAATGCATATAAATTCATCTTTTAAAAAGTATTATATTTGTTGCATTTAAAGATTGCATGTTCAATATCTTAAATTGAATTACATTTGGTTTTTTTTTTAATTTAAATTTTTTAGTAATGTTTTTTACTTTTTTCTCCAATCAGTCTTGCTAATCATTATATTGGTTACATTTAAAAGTTAGACCTTCAATATCGCAATTTAATTACATTTGGTTTTTTAAAAATCTAATTTTTGTGGAATGGTTTTTACTTTTTTCTCCAATCAGCCTTGTTAATCATTATATCGGTTAAACTTTAAAAATATGTCTTCAATACATTACATTTCGTTTTTTTTTTAATGTTAATTTTTTGTAATGTTGTGTACTTTTTTCTGCAATCAGTCAAAATCAGCACAAGAAAATACCTTTATTAATATTTCCACTTTCGCTTTTATGGAGTGGTATACTTACTTGTAAATATGCAAAGGCTGCACTTGACCAACTCAAAGGCTGCAGGGGTAAAAATACATGCACCAGCAAACTTGGACGGACACCCAAATGATCCTGAGCTTCACAAGAGAATATATTTATTAATATTTGTACTACCATACGTGGATGGATACAGGGATACTAGCATGCAAAACTTACTTGCAACGGCTGCACTTGTTGTAAAACGCTACTATTTGCAAAATAAATATGTAAATTATTGTTGTAATTCAAAATACTTCCATTATTTTTGATTTTTTTGCCATACATACTTGAATTTGCTCAATAAGAAAATGAATTTTCTCGAAACAATCGATGAAAATATCGGCAGTGTTGCCTGTTGAACTTTTTATACGAAGACAATATTTCTCCTTGTATTTTAGTAGTAGTTTTTATAAATCACAAAAGAAGGCAACACAGGCTAAGGCAGAATGCGGGAGCGAGACAACTGCCAGGTTATCCAACCTTGTATTATTGAATCATGTCCATTCGTTATTCGCTTTATAAAAGAGAGAACAATTTTGAAATATGAGTGTTTTTACTCTCTAGTAGAAAATAATTTATGCAACCTCATCATGGTACAATAATTACAGGTATTGTCTTCCCAGAGAGCGCATATTCCGAAATGCCTTATTTGAAAAATATAATTGTTGTGCATAGACTAAAAGGTTTACTGCTAGGGAAAAGGGATATTTCAATGCCCCATATGTACACAAAAAAAAAAAAAAAAAAACATTTGCTTAGTAAATAAATTCAAAATTTGTATGGCTCACTTCATTTCAAACGTTTTTTCTTTTGCTTTGAAAAATATAAATATTAAATTGCGGGGAAAACAAAAAGCAAAGCCAAATAAAAGTAAAAGAATCAACATTGAACTGCGTCAAAAGGAAAATAAGGGAGCACAATACCTGTACCTATTGTACCATGAACCTCACATATGTATGTACGCGGTTTTGTACTTTAAACAACGATATATAACATCCGCCAAAATTTCTTCTTTATCGCCATCTGCTTTAACTTGGAAAAATACTATTAAAACTCTTTTTGTTGTGCTGAGAAGGTAAATACAAAAACAAAATATTTTCGCTTCTGGATAAGTTAACGTGTTGGGTAATCATTGAGACGATTTCTTACTTAAGTTAAGTCTAGACTAAGTGAGCTTTTAGGGTGCCATATGTACATACATATAATAAGTAGGAATAAATAGCTGCAACGAATTTTTTATACTTTACCAAGCAAGTTTAAAAGAAAAGTCCTCAATCCCATAGTCTAATTAGTCTAAAATGACGCGTACAAGAAATGGCTAAGAAATTTTCTTGAGTCAAATTTCCTTCCTTCAGGCAATACGCAGTTCTTAAGAAATTCGCTACGCTACGGTTTTCTAAAGTTTTATTGTGAATAAAAGAGCACAAGGCAACCCATGCTTTCAACAGAAATATATGGCCGTTCCATTATTTCTTGAGGAAAGAGCGAGGCAATAGGCTGGTGAAGAGTACCAGTTGTCAAAATTCCTTGGGCACACCCACACGAAATAATGACAATTTTTTCTTGACCGTTTTCTTGAGAGCTGCTGCATACCAGCCTTTAAGCGCTATGCGTTGAGTAACCGCTTCACGCGAAGCTCATTTAACAGATTCCTCGTGTGACAACTCTCGTGCAATGCCAAGTAATTTGCCTCTCTAAAAGTCAAAGTTGTGACATAGGACTTTTTGTAATGATGACTACGATGTATGTACATATGAATGTAATTAATGCCGAATCTCCACATCGGATTGACTGTTGTTGCGATATAAAATTTTATTACAAATAAGCAATATTTATTTTTAAAGTTAAAGTTTTCGAAGACCTTGGCTTTGGGCTCTTGATCTTCAGCTAACTCTTGGATCCTCTCCCCTTTCACGCTTAACCTGTATGTCTTTATTTCTGTTTAAATTCCATTTGTTTCCAACACAAAAACTACAACAACAAATTAATTAAATTCTCTTTGTTTTTCATTTCCCCTTTTTCTTTTTTCTTCCCCACTCTACCCGACATATTCCTTTTATTTTTTTTTGTTTTCGCAACATAACAAACAAAAAAAAACGAAACAACGAAACAACGACAACAAAACAAACACACAAAACCTTCCAACACTAAAACCAACAAATCAACAATGAAAACACCTTTTCAATTTTGTAACATGATTTCGCTTGAAAAAAAAACTCCAACGGTAAATCTACTCTTACTGCAATTTCACACTTCCTTGCAAACAAAAAATCTACCACAATGAACAAAATGTATATAAATCCACCAACCACACACACACACATGCAACTCTTTGACGCACAAAACCAACAATTTCTACAACAACCACAACAAAAAAAAAACCCCTCTGAAAACACCGAACACCATAAAACCGACCTGTGACCCTCTTGTAGATAAAAGTTTTGAAGATTCGATCCAAGAATTAAATAATTTAATTGGCGAATTAGACTCGTTTCAACGCGAGATCGATGCCAACAAGCATTCTACAGCAGCTACACCAACAACAACAACGACGCCGACAGCATCAACCGGGGACAATTGCGGCGATCGGTCCTTCCCCTTTATCAGCACGAGCAGTAGCAGCGGCGTTGGCGAAGACATGGGAAATAACACAAAGCCAAAAGTGTCGGAATGTGGCAACACTGGCGATTTGACGCCCTTAACAGTTATATGCGCGCCGCAACCACCCAAATCGCCGCAGTGCGCTAGCAATCAAACGAGTGGCTGTGGCACTGATCTGTCCGATGCTGCCTCCGATGACATTGCCGCGGATGTGGGCTCTCTAACGAGACTAAATAACAACGCCAGCGCTAACGGTAGCACCAACAACGGCCAACACAACACTAGCGCTGGCAGTAGCAGAGACAATAATGGCCGCACATTGCAGCAGTACAATTCCGATTCGGAGCTAAGTCGTTGCTATGTAAGCGAAACGAGTTCGCTGGCGGGCGGCTACGAGAATCCGACGTTTGCGCACTTCGCCACAGCGGCTTCGTCATCGTCGATAGCCGCTTCATCGGGCGTGGATGAGCCCGCCGATGTGGGCAGCGTTATCGGCGACAGTCGCTCGCTGATGGCAGTGTCATCGACAACGACGGCCGACGATTGCGTATCGCACGCCTCGTACAGCATGGATAATGGCAGCGATGGCGGTAGCAATGTTGTAGTGATGATCTATGATCATCAGATACCCATCACGCCGGATATTGACTACGTCAAGCAGAATTCGGAGATAGTCGTGCTGCGCACCAAAGATCCGCTGCAGCAGCAGTTAGCGCGTCAGGATATGCGCGAGCTAACGCAGTTGCCGGCCAATCTGTGCGCGTCATTGAACGCGGCCTCCGCGCCGGGATCGAGCATGATGTCTGCGTTGGCGCTATCGTCGTCGTCGTCGTCGTTGTCGTGCTCAGTGCCCACCTCGCCGCCGCACACCGCGACCGTAGCGCCTGCCAAACAGCGGCTCTCCTCGTTCCGCGCTTCCAGCGAACAACAACTGCAGCTGCTGGGCTGCAGCGAGAACAACAACAGCGGCAGCGAATTGTCGCTTCTGCGAGCGCCCAACCAACATGCTTACGCAGGTACGCCGCAAACGCAAGCGCCAGAAGAGAGTAGGGGAGGTAGTAGGAAGGTGGCAACACCAAATGCACACAACAACAGTGATACCATAATACGCCGCAAAGCAGCATTGCCGCCAAAGCCAAGTTTGAGTATTTTCAATGGCCAAGCGGCCGATAATTTACTAGAATCTAGTAGCACGCGCAAGAGTAGTAGTAGTGGTAGGGGTAGTTGTGAAGCGGTGGCGGAACGTTTATCGGGCGTGCCTACACCACCACCGCCACCGCTTTTGACTAAGGCCAGTTTCAAGGCCGACTTAGATGCAAAAATACGCAAGCAAAAGTTGAAATTGCAATTGCAAAAGGAACAGCAGCAGCATCAAGAGCTCTTGCAACAAAAGCAACAGCTAATACAAGAACAACAGCAATTACAACAACACTCATCCCATCAGTCAGCCGCCAACAACTCAAATAATCCAATATACCTCAGCAACCACAATCATAGCAACAAAAATAACTCGAATTCCTCCAACAATACCAACAACACCACCACCATCATCACCACAACCACCACCACCAATGTCACCACAGCTAATGGCAATCGAAATAGCAGCGGCGCCAGCAGCAACACTAACAACAACAGCTACAATAATAACTGTAATGCAATTATGTTCAATAAGCGCAGTTGTAGTACACCAATTCCACCAAATTCAACACCAACAAAAACTGCACCTGCATCAGCATCCGCATCTGCATCTGCATCTGCCTCCCGATCAAATCATTTGGCATTTGTAGTGAAAGCCGCATTATCATCCCATCACACGACTGCATCCGCATCCGCATCCTCATCGGCAGGGTCACAACTTGTCTACCAAAATGGTACTAATAGTAGTAGTAACAATAATAATAATAATAATAATAATAATAGTAGTAATAGTAGTAAAAGTGCGTCCAAGCCTACCTCATCTCCTTCAACTGCATATCCTAGAACAAGTAAACAAATCCATTCTAATCGAACTCATTATCAATTTCATGCGCTGAAATCACAACATAACAACAACAACACGAACATTTACCACATCGATAAAATAACGAACGGCAAATCACGCGCCAAACGCTCTGCATCCATGACAACCACCACGACACGTGCCTCACCACCACCACCACCATCTTCATCCACATTGCCATCGTCGACATTATCCTTCCACTCGGCATCTTGCTTGCCATCTCGTTCGCCGACTGATCGCATTAAATGCCAACCACCAACGTCACCACGATTGCAATCGGCAACTGGGGTGTCTATCGGCCCAAAACAAAAACACCACACCCGCATCGAAACTGTTCATACTTTGCCATTGCCATCGTCGTGTTCGCCGCCACCCCTATCATCATCATCACCAACAGTGTCAGTAGTATCTTCCTGCACCTATGCGTGTTCTTCTGCTTGTACATCCACGCCGCCTCCCATCCAACCAACCAACCAATCAGCAGCTTCCACTGCGGTCTCGGCAGCCTCCACATCCGCATCGAACATAAATTCCGCCGCCGCCGCCAAACCGAACATCACGCCGAGACCGGCTTCGTTGTCGGGTTCGTTTCGTTCGTTTGACTCTGACTTTCTTTTGGCTGTTTGTTATGGTTTTCTTGATTTGTACTAATGTTGGCTCATTTCATAATTTCAATACTTAGTCTAACTTCTGGTGCTTTTCCGATTCATTCAAGTATCATTGGAGTTTGTGTTGTTTCTAATTTTCTAACTTCTATTTAATTTTGCACTCTTAATTTCGTCGCGTTCATTTACATATGGGCAAATCCTAACGTTGCGGACGTTACGTACGGACGTGTCTTAAGTTTCTTTAAATCTTTTTGTCGGCAAAAAAAAATTACAAGTTAAAAAATGTGTGTGGGGTATAAGGGAAAGTTTAAAGCAGTACTTAAAAGAGCAAAATAATGGAAATTTAAATTTGAATGAATGGCACTGTATTTGCCCTGGAAATTTGTGTTCGAACGTTATTGAAAAAGCAAGCGATTTTGATGTGACCATCAAAGTCAACCGATTTCTGTAAAATGTCATGTATGGAGAACACAATCTACAAAAATGCTTGGCAGTGAAAATAATGAAGTTAACAAAATGTACAATAAAATCAAACTAAAGGTTGGATTAACTTCAAAAAAATTGTATATATTCATTCAGGTTACGTTACGTTGCGGGCATTACTTTTTTTTGCCGTTAAAAAAAATTGTTTTCTTTTAAAGCGATATTGTGGTATTTTATTAAAAGATATAGTGCTTAAAACTAATGCTATTCAGAGCTTTGTTTCAACAAGTAAGTGGCGTGGCGCACAAAAGATTTCTCAAATATGTGTGAAGAGAAATATGAAATTAGTATATATTGTGCTATGCCATTTTTGACACAAGAATGCGAGAAATTAAATTGCATGCATGTTTTTCGTTCGGGGTAGAATATTTCTCGGATTTGCCCATATAAGAAATGAGAAATTTAATCTGCAGTTGTTGAAAGATACGCCCAATAGGATCGATTTCACTACGTTCCTAACAAAGCTTCATAGGATGCAGTAAATAATAAGCGTTAAAAGCTTTAGAATCTCGTGTAGCATTACTTTTCATCCCTCGTAACTCCACCACCATCTCTCGTGGTTTGAAGTTTAATTGAACAAATTTCTGATGTACATAGTGTGCAAATTATTTCTTCTTGACCTTCTCTGCACTATAAGAATGTAAGAAATTTCCTTTAAATTCTATTTTGACGTTGTATCAACCAATTTTGAGTACATTACTGTTATTACTTTCTCCTTTTTTTTTTGTAATAGAACAGGTGTCTAACGAACAGCTACTAAATGCTAATGCAGCACTTTCAAAAACGCATTAAAAAACGCTAAAGGTTTGCCTTATTGAGAGTAGAGTAACCAACCCTTTCTTACAGTAGCACGAAAAATTATTATTTGAATATTGAATTAAAAAAATTTGACTGTTCCGAAAATGGGAGCAAATTTGCTTACATACATATATTCTCGATTCAATAACTAATCAATTTTGAAGCAAACTGGCGAAAAGGAATTGGAAAAGTATAATAAATCTATAAGAGAACAGTGCAGTGTATGGGACATACATACATACACATATGTCATATATAAATATCAAATGGAAGAAGAATCCTTAAAAATCGCCTTAGATTGTCCTGTGTCTCATTCCCTACTGTAAGTTTGATTGAAGTGAATTCAGTAAATTTTACGGATACAAAATCATGCTTTCGAGATTTTCTTATCTAGTTTGCTTTTTGACAGAGAAAGTACTAGCCAATGGCTCAAAAACTTCACTAAATTGCAATTTTTTTCATTAATAGAGGGCCTCTGCAGCTACAGAAAAAAAGTTAAAATGTTTACAAAATCCGAGATCTTTTTTATAATGTACATACGTACTAACTCTGACAAATTCGTTAACATTATTTAAATTTATCGCTTTTGTTTTCATTTTTGGTGTTGGCTCAAAAATAAAAATAATAATTAAAAGTTTCTTTGGTGGTTAATTATTACTTTCTTTTAAATATTGGTGTTCTATGAAATTTCAAAATCGTGCAAAATATTAGTTTTAATAACTTTGGGGGGTATAATTTTTCGTCCGCTAATTCTTCGCAAATTTTTTGATTAACGCCGTTGATATTTCCACTTCTCTCACTGCTGCTTGTTTAATCGAAAGTATAACTTCTAAACTGAAATGTGCCATTCTGTGCGACCATCCTATGTACATACATATACATATTTCACTTCATCTATAAACCCACATCAATTCCTTAAATTTTTTAATCAATTCACTCACCTAACAAAGCACGCTCACACATCAGACACATTTCTATCTCATTCTATCGTTCAACTTCATTGAAGGCAAAACTCCGATTTAGTCGTCTACTAAAAAAGAATACATATGATTACTAAAACAAAATACTAAATGTTTCTAAAAAATTGTGTATAAACCTACATATACATATATCAGGTCCTTTTGGTGGATTACTAACAAAACAATAAATAAATTGGTGTCTACTAATTTTAAAATGACTACAAAAGGTCTACAAAAGCACCGATTGCTAATTGAATTGTATTAAAAATCAATTGGAAGTCTTAGTTGTTCAATTAGCATTCTGTCAACTAACGGTAATTCGGCTCAGTACTGTGAATATGTAAATAAATAAAGGCACATGTTAGCACATAACCTACTCGTTTGCCAAGAGAGTAACTGTTTACAATTTGGCCTGCTAAATATTATGGTGTCTTGTGTTTGTGCATCTAATAATTACAACAAAATAAATATGTACAGTAGAATTCTGATAATCCGTCCCTTAGACTTATACGTCCTGTATTTCACTCTCGTAATTAGGCACGCCAATTTGGTACCACTTTTATAAATTGCCAAAATGTAAAGATAATGATAAATGATAAATTTGACAAACCACAAATCACTTGTCGGATTATCGCATTTCTGCTGTACTGAAAAAAAAATAACTATTTTAAACATACATATCTATTGGATAACGGTTATGGCATACTTCTAATATAAAATTTAACACAAAAAAAAAACAAACGTATACACTTTGCAAACTCTAACTATCGTTTTGTTTTGTCAAACAGGAGGCGTGACGCGTATTGCGCGCCGTTCGTCAGTTAACACGGCTAAGCCACCGCCGCCGGTGCGTCGCAGCTCATCGGTGACGCCGAGTCACAATGCCACAGGCACTGGGGTAAGTTTAGAGCGAAACGTATTTAGTATGCCTTAAGATATATGTACTATAAAAAAGTGTAGCTGGTTTGTACTTACTTACCTTGTACTGGCAAAAGTGTGTGGGAAGTATGAGCAACAGGATTTTACCTACAGTCGAAGCATAAAACGTAAACACCGACTCAGAACACTAAATAGTAATTTTTAGTTTAGTATAACGATTTTCATCGGTTATTTTCATTCATTTCTATTTTCCATTTTCAATTTTCGTTTTTGTCATAATTTAATTTCGTTTAAATTTTCGTTTTTTACCCACTCAACTTTATTACACGCTATTACGCAAACAGGCTCCTCCGCAATCGCCACAACATCAACATCCAAACCAATCTCAACAAGCTCAATATCACGCCACCCAACAGGCCGCCAGTCATCAAAAGCCACCAGCAGCACAATATTCCCAATATGATTCCGTTGATAGTCTGCCACCCCCGCCCGCTTATTTGCTTGACTCAAGGCACGCGACCCAATTGTCGGCCTCTTCACCGTCGCCAGCAACACCGATGCCCAGCTCATCGCTGAAGGTGGCTGAAACGGTGAAGGCGCTATCCGCTATGCGTCACAAGCCTGCTTCACCGAATTCGATTCGACACATGCAGCAGTTACAACACCAACAACAGCACCACCAGCACCACCAGCAACAACAACAGCAATTACAGGCGCTGCAGGTGAGAGAAACTGTAGTGCAACGTCCCTCCTAAAAACACAGACCCTTGCTTAGCAACTCCCACAACGACAACCATAGCTAGATGGGCAGTGTGTAGACAATTTGTCCCGCCCAATTGGCGAAAAAACTTGTCATTGATTACCTTGCTCCATTTACATATTTGGTTTATCAAATCGAAATTTTTTTATAGATACGAATTTATTTTAATTTTATTTTATCTACTTAATTTTTTTACTTTACTTATTTTGTATACAATTTTTATTTATTTATGCATAAATACCTGCACTAAACCAAAACTGACTCTGAAAACAAACAAAAAAAAAAACATTGAACTCACCACTCGTTCACTACCCCACTATGCTTGATTGCACCACACTGACAGACAACACAGCACTCACCATCACAAACACCTGCACCAACATCACCACAGCCACCACTACAACTACAACAAAATATTTACTCCACAACCGTTAAGAGCTTTTCCTCTACCACTTTACCACCGGTGCCCAATTACGATACTGAACAGTCGTTGCTCCATTACGATGCTTATTCCTACTACAACCCATATGTTGAGGTTAGCTCCCAACTCACCGCCACACCACCACAGCTGCTTACTAATGCTAACGATGCCGCTTGCCAAACTCTGCCAATAACACCCATTTACCACTACTATGACGGCACTCAGCCAAGAAAATCATCACACCACTTACAGCCGCCCATACGGGAAGCACAGCTGCTGCATGAGGCAGGATGCAGCAGCAGTAATACGCTCCGAGGTATGGCCAAAAAGAAGGTCGCACACCAGTCACCAGTGTCACCATCGTACACCTCACCGCCACCTTACGACTTCCAGCATACCAAAATAGAGCTGCCACCCCCTTTACCACCACCAAATCCAAATCAACAGCGTTCGCTTAAGCAGCAGCAAATGCACCAAAAGCAGTTAAGTGAGTGTCATCAACACGTTACACCAACAACACAACAACATACCCCACAACAATACAATCATCTACAATCACCGCCACAACAACAACATGAACAGCTTTATGATTACCTGCCGTCACCACATCAGCACGTTCACTCTCCCAAGCTACAACATAAATACCAACAGCAGCAGCAGCAGCAGCAACAACAACAACACCAGCAACAGTCACAGCTTACGGCGCAGAATCTTGTCGACCTTGAAGATGAAGCCAATATTTATAGTGGCAACGCCGTAAGTCCTGCTTTGGTGTGCAAAAACGAAACGAGTAGCGAGTAGCGTAATTTGTAATTCATACTAATCAGCTTCTTCGTACCTAATCGGCGCATAACATAACAGCAAGAGCAGCAAACTCATTTGTTGGGTGCAAAAAAAATAATAAAATAACAATAACAATTTAAAAAAAGCATAAATGTTTGTATATATGTATAACCGGATTAACCAATGCACTTTGACTAACAGAGAGCAATTTACCGATTTTGATTCGAAAATGTATTTTTGAAATATGTAGTAAATAGTTAGACATACATACATGTACATAAATTCATTCACTAGTTTTATATTCACAAAGATTTTCTTCCTAATCGCTTAGGCCGAAGTGCAGCAGTCACCTTTTGTGAGGGAAAACAACAGATGTTAATTAAATTTTCACATTTGCCCGCATTTCTTACACATTTTTTCAAAGTGTGCTTAAGTGATGGATGGCCTTTGCAGTGATTTGCCGACTATTAATTGAAAGTTTTGTGAAACCAATTACAGCATAGTTTTAGGAATTGCATATTTAAGAAGTGCGTATTTAGGTAATTCACTAGGCGTAGTAAGTGTCGTATTGTCTTATGTCGTAAAGTTTTTTAACGGTTAAATAACTGTTTACCGTATGTATAACCGACTTGAAACCCCCTTTTTAGCCGTTTAAAGTTTAGGACACACAATAATTCGATACTGACGATACCTTGTGAATTCCCCAATTGTATTTTAGTGTGCAGTCTGATTGTTCTTCCAAATTATAATGTGCTGGGCACATATCTATGTCTGAAGAAGACACCAAGTTATATTCGTAGGGGATGGAGATCGTGGCTTTATGGCCATATATTCATTCCCCTATACCTTCGAAAGTCTTTGTACCATCTTTGTATCACTCTTGGGTGTGAGTCCGAAGAGTGTTTTCTAGACAGGGCAGCTTTACTGCCTAGCACAATCCTGAGCTTTTTCTCAAGGATTGGTCTTTTGGTGTTTGATGATAAAGCTTCTCTATCAGTGTACATATATGGAAATCTTCCGAATCGTATTTTTTGTTTTTATTTTTATTATTATTATTATTTTTTTTTTTGTAGTTAATCGTTAAATGCATATTTTTTTTTTTTTTGCTTTGATCTGATGGCATAGACTTTTGTCCTCAAACGCCAGGTTATTCCTCCTTTTTATTGTTATATTCCAGTGGTATAAGTATCCGGGTATGTACAACGCGTTGCCCCACTAATACACGTACAAAAGTTTCTGCTGTTCTTACGTCTTAAATTTTTTATTTATTTAATAATTATTAATTATGTATTAGATTGTATAAAATCTCTATGTGCTTAATAGCAGGGAACTAAGTCCTCGTATCGCCAGGTTATTACCCACAATTAAGAATTATACGTCAGATTATATTTGTTAAAATGTAATTTTAGCCTTTAATCATTTTCATGCAAACTGTAGTTCATTAGCAGTTTTTAGTTATTTTTCCAATCGACAGTTATATGTCTATACCGTGCAAACGGTACTTTATTTAACTTTGCATTTTCTTTTGTTTAACGAATTTAACATTATGGTTAAAATTTCACTTGACCAACTTTATATGTATGTTTTATTTAAATTTGTTTTTTATCATTTTATTTTGAGTCTAAAGATTAGCAGATATCTTTGATTTTAATTAAAAATGATTCATTATTTTATATTGATTACATATTTTTATGTATAACACGACAGGACACATTACCTTATTATCGAGGAGCCATTTTCCGACCGGTTTTCTATGTAGTTCAGATTTATAGATTTTTATCGAAAATTTACAATTTAGCCAAGCAAATGTGCGCTTTGCTGTAATGTGAAAACTTTTTTGAAGTGCATATTTGAATAATGAAAATATTTATTTTTGTACTATAATTCACTGCATTTCATTTTTGAAATTTCATTTGTTTATTTTTTATATACATTCATATAAGACATTCTTATAGTTTTACGATTACTAACTAATTGACAGCACAACCACTTGCACTGTATTTTAACAAACACACAATAATGTACACGCTTACTACAAATGGACTAGGGGCGGATCCAGCGGGGGGTCTACGTGTCAGTCAGTGGCGGACCCACGGGGGGTGTTTTAATATGGCGCATATGTATGTATAAAATAGTGTCTATGTATTAAAACACTCCTCGTGGGTCCGCCACTGACTGACACGTAGTTCAACCCCCAAAACCCCCCCGCTGGATCCGCCATCGAAATGGACGAATTTGTTTAACTAGGTGGTGTGATTAATATCCTGGCACAGAATCATGCACTTAACTCAATACGAAATATCCATTTGAATGTTTTTTTTCGCTTGATTTTGGCGTCTCGCACTAATGCTTTGTTTTATGATTTTCTATATTTTTTGCATTTAGTCATTCCGCACATCATCGCCTGGCATTTATGCGCAACCGAAAATCGTCACAAGCATGTCGAGCTTCCGTTCGGCTAGTCCGGCACCGAATGACCACCACAGCCAACATCATCACGTTGTACCGCCAACACAGCCGAAAACCAATCCAAATCTTATCGCACAGCTTAATGCCCGACTAAGCAAGCAAAACCAACAACAGCAGCAGCATAATGCAAGTGATGGTGGCACTTATGGCTCCACGCCTAATTCACCAAACCACCACACATTGCCCCACCAGCATCAGCATCACCAAAGTGAGCCCGTCTATATGAGGAATTACACGCATCCCCATCACCAACAGCAGCAACCAATGTCATCAGCCGCCACCGCTCCGACGCACCAGCAGCAAAACTATGACGGTAAATCGAATATAGAGAAACATAGTAAAATTTATGGTAGTTTTAGCACTGCAAATGCCACGCAATCATCTCAAGCGTCATCATCATCATCACCATCATCTATTAGTGTATCTGCATCCTCTACACCGCCAGTATCGTCATCATCCCATTTCTCACATTCATCATCCACAACAGCCAATTTCAATGCTGCACCACATTTTCCCCTATCATCTTCTACTTCATCGCTACTCTCAAAAGTCACTTCATTTGCAATGAATGCCACCTCCACGGCCGTTGCTCTTTCCTCAACAACGCCATCACAAATACAGTCACAGTCACAGTCGCAGTCGCAGTCACAAGCAGCAGCTTCTGCCTCCCATTATCACGCATCCTCGCGAGATCATCACCACAATTACCATATCAATCAGCATAGTCAATATCAGTCAGTCGCTTCGCAAAATGCAGCGCAAGGGCCCAAAGAGCATATGCACTCAAATATTTACTCCTCATCCTCCTCGATAACCACCGCAACGTCACACTCGCCATCCGCCGCCACTCAAATTAACGCCAATAAAAATGCTGCAGCTGCACAGCAATCGAAGCATCAAGCGACCTACGCTCCTCCTGGCGGTGTAGCCAGACATTACATTGCTCCAACGCAATCGCAACAGCAGCAGCAGCAGCAGCAACAACAGCAGCAGCAGCTTCATCATCATCATCGCGAGCCACATCACAGCTGCCCACCGCCGCTTGAGAATCCACCACCGCCACCCACCAACTCATTCATTTACTCAGCCACAGCCAATGCAACTGCGACCATGCCCAAAAATGCTATGCGCACAAATCTAAGCGTTAGCAGCGCAGGCGCGGGCGGCGCCACCTATGCTCCCCCTTCGTCCGCCATGACATTGCCTAAGAATCTCGCACAACAGCGTTTGCAGCAACAACAGCACTATCAGCAGCAGCAGCAGCAGCAACAGCAACAACACTACCAACAGCAACAATATCACCACCCAACCGCCACCGCTGCCAACGCAGCCGCTCAACAACACCAGCAACATTCCCAGGCGACTACTGCAACTCACCGTGCGCAAATACCACTGCCACACCACCAACAGCAACAGCAGCAACAACAGATGTCCTATAAACAAAAGTCAGCCACTTTGCAAAGCAATCACCGGCAGCCGCCCGTACCCTCGCGTCACTCCAGCGTGCAGCAGAAGATCTTTGTCGCCACCAATCCATTCATTCAAACTACAACCATACACTGTCACTCGCCCGCATCGGTGCACTCGCAGCCGGCATCACCCACCTGTTCGTCGCCGTCGTCGTTGGCGAGCATTTACGGCACTAGCTCGAGGAGTCATCACCACCACCACCATCATCATCAGCAACAGCAGCAGCAGCAGCAGCATCACGGCAGCGGCATTGGCAGTAGCGGCGGTAATAGTGGTGGAGCAGCCGGCAATGGTTACTACGCTGCCCCGCACAATTCAAGTGAGCGCGCGTTGTTTTTGTTTTGTCTGCATTGCATCCAGTCAGTTTGCTGGCACATGAAGCATTTTCTTTTCATTTGTTTAACATCAATTGGAGTTTTGAATTTTAAACTTGATTTTGTTAGCCGCCTTTAGTTTTTGAGTTTGCAGTACGATCGTCTCATGCGTCATGACCAACGCGAGTACTGACTGACTGCTGACTATTATTGACGGCGTTGCATGTCGCCTCTGTATTGCACTCACTTCTGTTTCACGCTTTTCAGCAATTTGTCGAATTAAATGGACAAAGCGACATACTATCGGTGATAAACGCAACGGCGCTGCATTTTGTTGAGCACCTTCGGCTCCCCATTCAAAACCGCCTTCTTCAGCTTCCAACATTGATTCCCACTTTTATCCTACTACATAAAAATTGAATTTTTTTATTATTCTCTTTCTTCTCAAAACACTTTGATATCGATATCATGTGATCTCATCACTACATCAATTGCACATAGCAAGTATAAAAATCTAGTTATAATATGGGTTAATTTGTAGTTGCATTGCATTCGTTGAAAAGTGGCAATCTCTTTAGTTCTCAATTATTTTTTTTAGTTTAGTTTGTTTACGTGACATTTAGTTGTATATGTATCAAAATGCTCAGAATTAAGAGATAAACTCGATCGATTTCATATGCCTGTCTGTCTGTTAGTCCGTCCACACCAAGGTACATTGAACAGGTAGTAGGTTCGTTCGCGTAGCTGTTAATTGTTCATGTTTAACCAAAACTTACAAGTTTTTGCGTTCGCGTACGCAAAAAACTTGCAAAGTAGGGGAAATTGAGAGAGCAAAGTGACATTTCATTTTGAGGGGAAGCTGCTGGTTTCTGCTGGAAAAATTTTTGCCAACAGCAATTTGCCAACAGGAAAACAGCTGATCAAAAACAGCTGGTTGGCATTTACGCAAANCACAATAACTCCAATAAGAACGTAAATACATATTTGGCTGCTCTTCAATCAAGGTAGGTAGGTGCCGGCCTCCCATATAACGCGTTATTTCTTAACAAAGTAAAAACTGCTATATTGGGAATACATACTAGCTTCATTTTGGCGGAGCTAAGACTTATTTCTTGTTATTTTTAAATTAACTCTACCTCAAACAACTTTCTTTGATCAGGATGTTTTAGAGCAAATTATGTAGGGCGATCACACATACTCCGTTTCGCTTTACAAGGTTTTGACTATAACTTTAATTTATTTTAAGGCGTCCTTCGCCCGATCGAGGCGAGTTTTGCACGTTTTGTCATTAGATTTTTATGTAATACATCGAGCACTTTTCTGCACCGTTATTGCTTTTTGAGCAGAACATTTCTTTTACCAAAAAAAAAAAAAAAATGAGTTTAGTAAAAAACATGAAGTGAAACACTTAACGAAAGAAATCTAATAATATTAAGCAATGTAATAGCTATCATTAAAAAATGTGCATGTTTACCTAATGAGGTTTTTTTAAATATGTAATTGTGTTCCTTTTCATCGCACCTGATTAATTTATACATACAATCGTTATACATACTGTGCAATATGTGTATGTCCTTTTGTTCATAATGATTTATGTATTAATACTTATATTTGAAATTATGTATGTATGTATATTGAACTAATTTCTTATGTTTTGTTATATTTGATATTTTAAGGCTATGTTAATGATCTTTGATTGAATTTTGCTTTCGTCCTTTGCATTTTTTACAGCATTTTTTATTATGATATGTATCTAAATAATTTCGTTCAGGATCGTTGACTGCAAATTTTATAAAGTTTCATTTTTAAATTTTCTATTGTTTTTAAACATAATATTTTGTTTATTTATTTTTTAATTGATTATTGATAACATTCAATTTTTTACATTTTTTCTCTTCTCACTTTTTGCCGTCCATTTCACTTCTGTCATGGCTTATTGCACCCACAACAAACACGAAAAATATTTTAAATTTCGAAATTGGCTGCCAAAACGAAAATTCGAAAATTATGCACCATCTCTCTTCGCCAATCGTCAAACGCCGTTCAACAGCGAGTTATGCTAGCTCTAACATTGAGAAGGCGGGCAGCATTCGTTCGAAAACAAAAGCAGAATTTCTTGAGAATCTCAATGCGAAGCTGGCCAAGCAGGGTCTCTCCGGGCGGGCCTTTGCAGTGCGCAATCTGATCAATAGCAAAGCCTTGGTAAGTGTTGCACCTATTCGAATTGGGACTATAAATCAATGGGCCTCAAATGATAGTACACGATCATGTATACTATTTATTATAAGTACGTGTGTATGTATGGATGTATATTATTGGTTGATTTTAGACTATATCGTTACAATTATTAGGTTTGTTCGTCGAGCAAAAAATTTGTACGAATTTGTACGAATTATCACGATTTTTGCCCAAATCGCGTTCGTGCAGACCAAAAATTTATCCAACACTCAAAAATTGTGAGAGCAAAGTGACAGTTCTCTTGGAGAGATGTTGCAAATTCTTGCTGGAAAAAATTTTGCCAGCAAGAATTTGCAAACACGAAAAACATGTGGTTGTGGCGCATGGTTGCATTTTTGTCTACAATAATTTGAATAAATTAGTTCGTTAAATTTAAAAATTTATAAACACGAGCGATTTTTNCTGGATTTTCGACGAACAGACCTATTTATAATTATTTCCATGTATATGTATGTATGTATGCACAAACGTATGCGTATTATGCATTTTGATTGATAATCGCTTGTTTCCTGTACCCAAAAAATAAAAATAAAAATAAAAACAAAAACGATCGCCCCCTTCCTAGATGTATCAAAATCCAAAAACACCTGCTCGTCCAAGCGAACAATATCGCACGCAACCGCAAACACAACCACAGCCACCGCTGACACCGCCACCCTCCTCCGCCGAAGAGTCTTCGTCGCATTAAGGTATCGTAAAGTAAAAGCAAAAACTGGCTCGCTTCGGTATACCGATACCGTCTGTCTGTATGCGCTTTTAGCTGCACAGCACTACGCTTTGCATTACCAATTCGCCTAAATAAATTAATCATTAATTTTTAATATTGTTATTGAGCTTTGTAACACGATTAACTAACATTGATTGACAAATACATAGTTTAGGAAGAGCCTGCCTAAAACTATACAATAAAGCAAAGGCTAGCTGTATAGAATTGACAACAACGGCAAATCAGCTGCACTTGATAGTAGCCGGTTGAATAAGGAAATGAATTAGCAACAAGAGTTTACGGAATGTGCATAGCTCAGTGGTTAACGCTTCTGACTTTGCACACCGATGATGCGGGTTCGATCCCTGCTGAAGCCTAGAAAAAAGAAGTCCAATGAGGAGATGTGGTGATCTCCGAAATAGCTGCTATAACTTCTACCGCTTAGACTTTGTTGGTTTTTTAATTTAATTTGTCCTAATAAACATAATCGTGGTACAAAGCTGAATAACAATATTAAAAATAAAATGTTAAAAAGCCACAATAACATTGATAAAATCATTAATATCGAAAAAGTGTATAACTGAACATCTTAAAAAAGTAACGTCATAGCATGCGCCATTTACCAACAATCACCAGCTTTAAAACGACATAAAAATTGCTTAAATTCATAATTACAAAACTTAACTTCTATTTTAAATTCCTTCTCAGTTTTTTTACGCCATGGATCTGTAGATTTGTAATTAGAACATTACCAACTACATTTGGCTGGTTTGGTTTACTGTTTCTTACAAATTCGTAACTTCATAAAGAAAGCTATTTGGAGGCTTTTTAGTCGTCGGATCTTTCAACGAGTTAAAGTATAACACTCGTCGCCATTGCTCATGGCAAAAGTGGCTAAAAATGGAAATCTTATCGGATTCGCTTGAAACTTGTTACCTGGGGTTTTTTTTTGGGGGGGTTGCTGATTGCGAATTTGAAGTTAGATTTCAAAAGTTAAAAATGGCGAATCTAATATGGCCGTTCAAAAACTCGCCTGCAGTTAATCTAAATACATATATAAGTTATAGCTTCCGAAGCCCACACGACGAGGTTACAGTACGAATTATGACTTAATTTTTTAATTTTTACTATTATTTTAATCATTACGCTGGCCAACAAAAATTGAGAAAAAATTTTATGCGGCAAATGTCAAAGCTTTTTTTGATAGACTTTTTGTGCTTATTACGAACCCGTAAGTATAAGGTGTCCATCAGCTCCAGATTTTGAGAAAAACGTGGCAAACAAACAAAATATGATAGAACCTTCCACTTAGGCTTAAATTAAGTTTTTAACTTTCGAATACAATGAGATCTCCAGGGTCTAGCTCATTGATGCCGGTTTTACCCAACATTTTATTAACTGGTAAACTTCCATATGTCATTATTATTTAATGTTATTTCAATGACTTCTCTTTCTTTCCTTCAATATGGTCATTGTCACTTCACATTTATGTAACTCGCCGTTTCGCTTTGTTTGTAAAATTTGAATTAAATGTATTTTCAATAAAATAATAATGAATTATTTATTTGAACTTAAATTTACATTTATTTGAATTCGCGTTGTTTCTCTAATCGTTCTCGAATCAAATTCTAATGTAGTTCTCTAATTTTGTCATCAACTCGAGAACGACTAGAGACTCTGCCCACACACCTTTCCCTTACGAAACAGACCGTTGCCTGCGCCTACCTTGAGTTAAGCTTGACCGGCAAAAACAACATCTGAAAGAAGACTTATGTTCGGGTTTAGTAGGCAAGCTCGACAGCGGCGACGACCAACTACAGCTGTTGCAGACCAGTATTATTTAGCCGGTTTCAATTTGTGCTAAAAAGTGATTAACTTTTGCTGGTATTAATCCCATCTACATATTATGCTCAACGCTGCATAGCTCAAGTGCATAGAAGTACGAATAAATTAAGATTTTACTAATACTCTCCGATAATTACTTATCCAAATGCATAATTTACAAACTTACACACCTCATTGACAAAAAAAAAACTACTGCTGATATTTATTTATGCTTAAAATTGGTCACTATGTAGTATTTTTACATTTTTAAATTGGCCAATTTAGCGTAGACATTTTTTTTTTTTTTTTTTTATTAAATCTGTGTGCTTTTGTTTTTACAGCCCGATCCCCGCATTTGTCATGAATCGCTGATGGACCAAATCAAGCGTGGCGCCACACTGAAACGAAATCAAAAAATAAACGATCGGAGTGCTCCGAAAATACATTAAATCGTTTAGAGGCGAGAAAGAGGCTGCTAAACATGTCGGAGTCAGAGTCGGAGGAGAAAAAATTGTTAAACGTTAACAAACGAGCAAATAGAGGCCGTACGCGACCTAACATTCAGACTGTTTTACCGACGCCACTGGGAGGAGGGAATACAAAATACAATACCTAAACGCATACTTACATATGAGTACATACATATATACGTTTATAAATAATATTATATTGCAGTTAGTTGTAAGCGAATAAAAAATAGAATACACTTACGCTAATTTAAAGGCGAATAAACTAAATGAATATGAATGAGTGAATAAGTGTAAATTAGAAAAACTGTTCCATATCCATACAAATTTATACAAAAAAAAAATATTCATTATGAACCCAAAATACATATATATTCGAAGTATCAATGCAAAGGATTTTATACCTACCCACATACATACATATGTACATATACTTAACATATGTTGCATACATGCTCCCCATACATACATATGTACATGTTAGCATTCATAAATACATATGTATGTATGTATTGTATTTATTCCTTTTATAAGTTTTCGTTGCTCAACTACCCAAAATTTTCATTTCTTAAAGTTTATACTCGTATTAATGCTAATATTGATGTAAGCGAGAAAATTTAATGAACATACATATATATATACATACATTTGTATGCTAACGACAAAAAATCGTTTATCTGTTCATAGAACAGTTGCGTATCATAATCATTTCAAGATACATATTTTAATGCAGTTACTGCTTTTATTCTACAAAATTACCGACCAGCCGAAAAATATCAGTGAGCAAATATATAGTTTATTTATTAGTATGCATAAATATATGTATGCATATGCAGCAGATGCTTACTCGTTTACTGTGCGTTCTATACATACATTTACCTAATCGTATACATACATGCTTACATAATACATATATACATATTTACATAAGCTATCAATTGTATGAATTAACAACCGAATTGCGTATTTCATATAACCAACTCGAATTTTTACCAAAAAAAAAAAAATATAAAAGAAATACCTACTGAAAAATCGTAAAATGTAAATTAAGCATGGAAGGGAATTTTCGGAAAAGCAACTTATTTCGAAATAAAATATGTACGTAGAATTAACTTTTAGTTTTCACTATGTTTTTCATATCAACCGTTATCATTTCAATTAAAATATATTTTTTCAAGTGTATATACATAGTTTATATTCTGATTTGAACAATGTTTTAACTATTAATGTATTTACTTTTTATTACTTATTAATTTATATAAAACATTTAACTGAATATTTGAAAAATATGCTGAATAAAGAATTAAATCATATAGACGTTGTTTTTTATTTAATTATTTTGAGCTACGTTTGTTTTGATGCAAATTTTATTTTAAATATTTCCTTTCATTATTTATAGTGCTTCAGTAATAAATAAATTTGAGTAGAAAGAAAATATTATTCACTCCTATTTTGATCTCAATTAGCATCTCTCTTACGCCTGCGAACAAAGCGGAAGCGTTAAAATGTCTTTTTCAATACAACTTTATACATACATACGTATTACGTACATACATATAAACAATTGTGCATAACAATAATAAAGTAAAAGTCAATTGTGCTAAACTAATCGCTGTCTGTTGCAACTAGCAACCCACTTTCATCCTTCCTCCTTTCCTCTTTTGGATCTTTGAAAAAACGTTCCATCAAAAATTCCTAAGGTGAAAAATCGTCACACAATCAATATTCGGCGTTTGCAAGATTTTACTTCCAATTTCCAAATGTTTATGTAAACAATCACCACTCACATCTATTCAATTGCATTTAATTGAGGGCAGTCAATGGGTCCCTTAAAGACAAGGACTCAGATTTGTATCAAAGAGCGCACTGATGGCCGTTAGACTAACAAACACCACTTATGATCATTAAAATATTTATTTTAATGCTATTAGTATCTAAATGTTAGTTATAGTAAACCATTTCATCCTGTTACGACAGTTTATTTCTAGTAATGACAACATCATATCTTGTACTTATCCCATAAACAAACTCGAATAATATTTAGGTTTAAGTAAAAATTGATATTTTGTATATAAATATACATACATATATGCATACTATATGTGTATGCATGTATGCATTAAATTTTAGAGAGGAGCCTAACTGTTAACTTACTAGCTGTACTTTTTTTATAAATGTGTGTGTTTTGAACTATTTCTAAATAAAATCATTTCAGCTCGGCTAATTTGTAGTCATACAACATTGCAAACTGAAAAAAGACGACATAATCAAAAATCAACACGCTCAACTAGGCTACTAGAATTGTGCATAGAATCAAAACCTTCGCATTCTTATAGGATATTATTATGCTGGATTTCCACTAGGCATTAAATGACACAATTGGGCATTAAAAAATATTTTTGTCATTACGTTAAAAAATAGTAATTAAATTAATTTCCAGATGGCATTTTTTAAATGCAACTTTAATGCAATGCCTAGTGGAAATTCGGCAATACACATACATACATTATTATGGCATGAATGTACTGAAAAAATAATTACACCTAAAAATTTAGAATTGTCCTACCAGTATACATGCATATTAAAAAAAAAGTAATGTAGTACGTACGTATGTACCTACATATGTATGTACATATGTATATGCTGCTTATAGATTTAAAAGACATTCCAATTAAGACCCATATGCACACATTTCTCAAGACTAAAAACCAAGTTATGCTATAAAAAAAGTCAACCAAAAGCATGCCCCATGCCTAGTATACTACTACCTATCTAATCGTATCAATTCAATTACATACCAATTATATACACTAGATACATACATACATACATATACTATATAATATACATACTAATGTATTTTACTCGAGAATATAATCTACATATGTATACAGATTCCTATAAATTATAACAATAACTGCAATAATTTTCAATAAAAAATCGTTTTTAAATCTCATTTTATATTTCGATTTTTTTGTCATGGGAGGTTGACGAATACGACTGATGAAAACACGCAGCCTATTGTAAGATTATTTCGGCATTTGGAAGCGGATTTAGATGGTAGCCTACCAGCTTTGGAAGCTGAGACATAAATAATTGTTTTTTTTTTAAAGCTTATCAAATTCATTGCAGCAATCATTGTCGGTGTTACCATTTTTGTAATACTCGCCTTAAATACTACGATTTCGTTGTTTTTAATATGACCTAAACGACTCATAAATTCATGTTGAGATCAATAATTATAATTTATTTATAGTGATTCGTTGATTCTTTCAGAAATGTCTAAACATTGCTAAAATTTTAGTAATGGTGGCTAAAACAATCATCGTAGTCCGATTTTTCGTGAAATCTACGAAAATCCGATCACTGGATCCGAATCGCTGCGAACGTGTGTATTCAGAGCATACGCTACGTTCCACAGTGTGGCAACTGGAAGAAGCTAGCTGCACAATATTATTTTATTAGTATTTTAGATAGATAAGGTCGGAACTAAAAAAAAAATGTTCTAAGACCGGGTTCGGGAATGCAAAAAGTAATGGATAGCCCCTATAAACTGCGCACGAAAATATGCAAGAATTTCTCGCATTAAATGATACGAATGTTTTGCGAATGCGAATGTGTACATGGGCAGAGCGTCCACTCTAATATTGTTGAAATGGCTCTAAGTCTGTCTAACCCTGGGTGCGGAAAATAGCCGGGCTTTTAGCTTCAGGCGCTAAACGGTTAAGTAGTATCACATTGATTGGCCTTCAACAAGTACTGCTGAAAGTCTTATAAGCAACCTAGAAATAATTTTAGATTCCTAGAATCTGGAGACATTAAAAAATGTGAAATTAAAGCTCAATTGAAGGCTTAAAGAAAAACGGGCTCATCTCGGTGAAAATCTTCTCGATTGGTGGAAAACTTAACTGAAATATGACAAATTGACAGATCTGGGCCGCAAATATTTGAGCGCTCCAGCCTCTAAGCGATCGCCTCATGGGAGAAAAGGCAGTAAAATTACTTTTTTGAAATATCATATGCCCCTTTTCAACTTTTACTACTAAGAACGTGTAATGTTCAATGTTCTAATAATGTAAAAAATTTTTAAGTAATAAAAACGCTGACTTAAGTTGATCATAGCTTTTTTAAGATTATTCCTAACATAAGCATTCGCACATTCGCATTCGAAACATCCCTAGTATGTAAATATGTGTACAAATTTTGAAAAATTAAAAAAAAAACTGTACACGTTTTAAATTTAAAATAAAAAGTATTCAAAAATAGTACCCATCGACTTTCTCATTTTTTTAAATCTTCATAACCTTCTTCGTCCTCTTCATCTTGTAAATTTACGCTATTTATAATTCGTGGTGCAATGATTAATTTGAGTACTTCCCAGGACACATTTCCAAAACTATTTATGAGAGAATCTGACGTAATCAATATAACTGATAACAGATCTTCGTTAGTAGCTACAGGTGAACACTTTTTAGCATTGTGTAGCCGATACCTTCTGCAATTCTTATTTCTAGCTTCTTGAGCCTCTATATGGCATATGAAAAAAAAATTTGTCTTTTGTTTGTTTTAAATAATCATCTTTTATTTTATTAATAGTTTCTTGTAACCCTTAATAGCCAGAAGGTATGGTACGGTTTTCGTGACTTTCAAGGCTAATTACTGTTTGTTATTGATATTCTAGGAAAACAATTTGTATTTATGACACCGTGGGAGTATTGCACGCTCAAATGTACCGTTATTCCTTAGAAATATGGCTGTCTAAAGAAATAGGTTTAAGAAGGCTTACAGCCGAAAATTACTCAAGCTTTTGCTGAAAGGTAAATGCAGGCTCTGTGTATATTTTTAGTGCATAATTTCAAAAATGCCAAATTTTGAGTTGTGTAACTTTTGAAGATCATGTGCGATATGTATGTATCTTTATGTCTGTTTGTTTGAATTCATATTCGAAAACCCTCTTTCAGGGTTCGCCTCTGGCATACCAAATGTATTTATTTCATACATATTTATGTATATACATATGTACATTAAGGCGTATCACGAAAAAGTGTGTGAGTTTAATACGGTTTACATGAGGCGACTTTACGGGCAACTTGTTGAAAGCAACAATCGCCTGGTCCAATTTCCCACGACAGTCGACTCTACGTAACCGGAACGACCCAGATTTATATCAGGCCAAGGACTGTCACTACAGCAACACTCCCCAAAAATTCCTAGAGGAATTTTTAATACTTATGCAGTAGGTTACATTTTTAGTTTTTTTGTTCAACTTTCTATGATCTAAATAAACGTATTTTGTATGGAAACAAACAGCTTGACCATCGAAAAGGGTTGTTTCACTTCGCCGATTGTAAACCAGTTGACCTTTTTATGGCCAATTATAGGCCTGAGCGAAACCTTTTCGGCGACATAGATTTAAGGAATCGGGTGCCTGGACACACGTAAGTGTTCAAATAAAACGGATATTTTTTTCTTTCATATATAGTGATACGGCTTAATGTATATATCGTTGCTTTAATATAGAACATTTTTATTTCTTCACATAGTAATTTTAAAATAAATTTGCGAATTTCTTTCCAACAATGCTTTTTAATAAAGGCTGTATGCATGTAATGTTTTAACAATTATTTTTAAATTCCATTAGATGGTAAATCAGTAATCCGCCTCCTATAAAGCTGATTTTCGAAAGAAAATTAGTTAGGGTCTTTCTATATTAAGGTAACGTATGAACATATTTTTGGATTTTCTTATAGCTTAAATAGTTTCATTGTGTTGTCATAGTACGTTTCTGCCAGTTTAGAAGCATTTTCCTCCTTCACGCCAGCGATAACTTCAAGCACTTGGCTAAAAAATTAATAAATTTTTTTTAAGTTATGCGAATATGCATGATTCACAACAATAAACATGCGTTTAATAATATAGAGAATTCAATATTTACGTTATTGGAGATTTCATCATATAATTAATAAGCCATTCCGGTTGGGCAGTGTGTCTTTCCAGCTGCATTTTCGTATACCAACTTTTGGAAATGATCAAACTTTGATTGTTTTAACACAAAATTTAAATTTTTGAAAAATAATTCTCTACATTATTAAACGTGCGATAAGTATATACATATGTACACTGACGAACAAAAGTATTGGCACAGACAATTTTTCGCAATATATGCAAAGTATTTTATTCTAATTTATTTTCGATAATTTTTTATAAATAAAAATGTAGTTCATTCTACACCAAAAACATACAAATAAAGTCTCTAACGTTTGTGCAAATCTCAGTAAAATGCAATACATTTGAATTTTTGTGGGCGGTGCTATTATTTTCTTCCATACGAAAAAATTGTCAGCAAACCTTGTATGGAAGAATCTGCGTGAAAAAAATTGGTAAAAATCAAAACGATTTTTTAGTAACTTCAAACTTGGACTAGAAAGTTGCAAATTAGAATGCAAACTTATTGAATTTTAAAGAGTTTTTCACAAAGATTAGATATTTTATTTTTACGTTATATAATTATCAATAAAAAAGAAATTGAAATGGAAAACTTTGCCAATACTTTTGTTCTTCATTGTACATGCATACATACATACATAAGTACCTAATTTGGCATGGTTCGCAACGTCCGTCGACCAAGGTGTCCGGGGTCCATTTCTCCTTTTTCTTGACCGCCGTAAATTTCGTTTGTACAAATTTGGCACCTGCATGCGATGGTCGTATTCCACACCACGGGCAATCAGTTTCCAACATAATACATTCGTTGGATATTCTTTTAACAACTTCTAAATTCTCTGCTGTCTTCAAGGAGCACCCATTCAAACCGATGTATAATCCTCCGTAGTTGATCACTTTTTCCGCTTCCTCCAGTGTGCCATCAAAACTGTGGACTACACCTCCACCACAATTCAACAACTTGTCCCGATTGCGCTCCAATATTTCCATGAAGTCAGCATGCGCACTGCGACAATGCAGGAAGAGTGGCAAACGAAATTCGGCAGCCAAGCTGAGCTGCTTCTCAAAATATTTCTTTTGCGTGTCTTTGTCGCAGAAATGCAATCGATCGTAGTCGAGTCCACACTCACCCACTGCCACCACCTTTGCTGGGTTTTCACGTATTTTGTTTCGCAGACCCTCGTAGTATTGTTGCGGGTCGGGTAGAAACTCATTACAGCGTGTTGGATGGCAACCCATTGTAATGTTTAGGCGATCTACGGTATTACAAATGCTTTAAAAATACAAAACCTGATGAATTGATAACGCATTAAATTTGCCTGCTAACAACCTTACCATCGTCTTTCGCCAACTGCAGCGCCGCTTCCGCTTCGTTAAGTGTGCCCACGGTGATAATCATTTTCTGCACGCCTTGAATCCAGGCACGATTTAGCACCAAATGCAAATCGTCGGCATGTTTCTGTGAGCCGCCGTAGATGCCACGAAACATGGGGTCGGTGAGGTTAGCGCCAATGTCTAAAGTAGATCAAGCTCATGTAAATGTATTAATCGGAGGTTTAATCCACCGGAAATTACCAATATACTTCATAACCATCTTGAGCTGTTTGGAAATCCTCATTCAATTATTTCAGGATGTGTATATTTACAACTTTGCCTTTTCGGACACTGTGCACACACCAGTGTTGGAAAAGAAGGTGCAATTGTACTTTTTCATCCCTTCTTAATTTGAAAGTACATTCGGTACAACCACACAAATTTTGCACGTTTAGAACGCTGGGAAACCTTTCTTATTTTCAGATGGACAGGGACGACAGTATAACCTGGGCCCGAATCGCGGCATTTGTCTGCGAGCGAATCAAACAAAATAGCAGCACAATAAAATTTAAATGGGCGAAGCATGCTCGCTATTGAACGCCGCCATCTAAAATCAATTTTCCATTCGATTTACGTTCGATACCGAATGCCGCGATTTGGGCCCAGGACTTTGTTCTGAACTCCTCAAAGATATTCCTCGCAACATCATTTGGTATTGCCAAAATTGTTTAATGTGAATCCGTTTATATGTTTATATGGTGTGGAAGAGAAGAGTTCCTCCTACTAGCAAAAATATATATAAACGTATAAAAACGCACATTTACTTCTTGGGTACATTTCGCTAATTCTAGGTACATTTTTTCCGAAAATAGGTACAATTTTAAAATTTAGTTTCCCATCTCTGTCAGACACATCAAAAAAACGAACAGCTGACGGTTTGACAATTGGGTGTTGAATCAGCCGTGATGCCAATTCGCTTTGCGTGATGCGATAATTGATAATAGGTTCGTTCGCGTAGCTGTTAATTGTTCATGTTTAACCAAAACTTACAAGTTTTTGCGTTCGCGTACGCAAAAAACTTGCAAAGTAGGGGAAATTGAGAGAGCAAACTGACATTTCATTTTGAGGGGAAGCTGNGTGCCAGGATACCACTTTGTAATGAGTTTTCGTACGTTTTAAATTTTACACTTTTGAATGTAAACAAAAATTATATCAGCTGTTCGTCTAACTTGCAAGTTTCTGCAAATTTTCTGTTCGCGTACTATTTTGGATATTTCTCTCTTGTGAGCGAACAGATGACATTTCGCCGGAATTTGGCAGTTGGTTGGTTTCTGTTGGAGATTTTAAACGAACGCACCTAATGTTTTGAATCTCAGCTCGAGGAAATAGCCGTTTTCATGATTATGATTGGAAACACACTCTCGGCAATTTGGATGCTAACGCTGCATACAATGTTTTTAAAAGTAGTGTATATGAGGCGTGTGTAGAAATAGTGCCTTTAATTACGAGGAAGTTGTATAAGTTACCATGGTACAACAAGGATCTAAAGCGACTCAAAAATCGTAAAAATAGGCTTTTTAAAAGATTTAGGGCAACTAGGTCCCAATCTGTGTTCGTCAGTTATCAGTACTGCCTTAGGAGCTTTAATGCCTTGGACAAGATTCTCTATAATAGTTTTATTTGTAAAAGTGAAGCAGACATTAAAAACAACCCTAAAGCATTTTGGAGGTTTGTAAAATCTAAGAACGCTAAGTCGAGTGTGCCGTCCTCAGTCTTTTTGAATGACAAGGAGGCCAACACTCCTGCTGAGGTAGCCAATCTATTCGCAGAATTTTTCTCCTC